AATGAGGGAGGGGGAATGGAAATTGGTTTTTTTTGGATGGTGGAGGATGTAATAATACGAAGGTGGGGTGCACGTCCTTCTCTCGGATCCGACATATATTACCTGACGACTCTTTTAAGTGCGGATTTTTTTTTTTTTTAAAGAAATTTCTTAAAAGTATGAGCTTATCAATTCATTTTGTTCGTTGAAACTTGTATAATCATAATTAAATCCATCTCTAAATTAAATATACACATATTTATAAATAATATTCTTTATATTTTGTGTAATATTCTTAAATATTATAACTTATTACAAGAGCTAAACTTAACATTTAATTTAATATATATATATATATAAATATTAACTCGACAACATACTCAGTTTGATCTTAAAATACGATCGATTGTAACTATAAAAATCATATAACTCCTTCTGAAATTTATTGTAGGTTTGGAGGAACGTCAACAAATAAGTTTCTTTACCTTTACTCTCAGAAAAAAAAAGTCAGTGCGTTATTGATTCGAGAATGGACTCGATTGATCGTAAAATATATTTGATTTTTAGTTTAAATGGTCATTAAAAAATCAATCAAAACTCGTTGTTTCTCAATCGTTAAACACTTCGAATAATTGTGAATGAGAAATCTCAATTTGCGATTGAATTTTTGGACTTTTCAAAGTCTCTACTATAATTGTAAAGATTCTTTAACTTCCAGAACGATCTGTTGCAGATTTGAATGAATGTCAAAAAAATATATTTACTCTTACTCCCGAATCATAGAGATTAAAACATTGAAGAGAATTACACGTGCTCTTATATTGTCTGTTATGCAAATTGTCTTATCAAATATTGGTAGGAAAACCTTTGAGATAACGTGCGATTTGAATTTATTTCGAAAACCCTAAAATGAATATAGCGATAATATACGCTCGTTTTTGTTTTTTAACGATTTGTAGCTAAGTATTAATTATGAAAAATTACCTCACTATTCATTTTTTTTTTCTCTCTCTCTCTCATAATTTACCAAATGGAATAAACCAAAACATTGCATGTGGTGGAAATCATAACTCTCTAATTAGTTAAAAGTAAACTTTCATCAAAATAAACCCATAATGGGAAAAAAAAAATTTTATGAAATTTTTACCAAAATTATGAGATTTAAAATATATTATTTTAATTTGATTTTGAATTTGTGAAAAAATTATTATTTTATATTATTATATGCATTAATTTATATGTTTTCACAAAATTTCAAGTAAATAAAATAAATTTTTAATTAAATTTTATAAAATCTCCAAATCATAACCCTAATTGGATCCACTCATTGGGCTGGGTCGGCCCATTAAGTGAAATTCTTCCGGAAAGGGGTGTATGGGTTTTCCTCCATTTCTGATCTCGTAGGGTATAAGAACCGCGTCTTCGTCTTCCCTCCAGCCTAGCCGGATGTACCGCTGACGAATCTTCCCGATTGATTTCCACCGGCAAATGGTCGTCTCGCCGAGAGTCTTTTGTTCGGGTCAGTCGCTGATCACCTTTGCGATTTGAATCGGATTTCGTCAAAAGCTTTGTTGGTAAAGATCCTCGCTGTTTTTTCAAAGTTGTCGTTATTGCCTTCTTTTCGCGTTTCATTCTTTAATGTTCCAGGTGTTCATATGCCTTAAAACTTGGTTTCGGTGGATGCTCGAACTTTCTCCTTTTTAAGAAATTGTGATTTTTCTGTGTGAGTTTCCATTTCGGACATATTTGATCCCAGTCAAAATAATTTTTTTTTTTTTTTTTTGTGTCTTAATCGTAAGCTGAGTTAACTTAAGTGGTTAGATTTTGATTCCTGGTCTTTTTTAGTTTTCTTCGTTAGTAAAATGGTGTAATTGCTTATGCTTTGTGTTCATTTATATTTCTTCTATTACATTTGTTTTCTCATTGCCCTTTGCTCATCGATTGCTTCCTTCTTTCTGGTAACACATTAAGTACTCTGCGTGTTAAGTAGCTCTATCTGTTTACTTTTGCTTCTTAATATAAAGGCATTTAGGTATATATGTTCACCCGTAGGCCACTAAAGAAGTATTGTTGGATCCATTCATCCTTATTTATTTGCTTGGTCTTATTTGGTTGAATAGGTTTCATTCAGCTACAGAAAAAGTCTGATGTTTTTCATAGAGGGTTGAGAGTTGACGTACAATCTTTTGACAGTTGCCTGTTTCAGCTAGTGTTGATTGTTAACTATGGCATGGTTTAGAGCTGGTTCTAGTGTGGCAAGACTTGTCATAAGGAGGACCCTGTCTCAAGGTCGATACTATGCAGCTAGAACTCAGGTTCTTCCATCTAATAATCGATATTTTCATAGTACTATTTTCAAATCAAAGGCACAAGCTGCACCTGTTCCTTGCCCTGTGCCTCTTTCTAGGCTAACTGACAGCTTCTTAGATGGAACAAGTAGTGTATACTTAGAGGAGCTTCAGAGGGCTTGGGAAGCTGACCCAAATAGTGTTGATGAATCATGGGACAATTTCTTTAGAAATTTTGTGGGTCAGGCTGCCACATCGCCTGGAATTTCAGGCCAAACTATTCAGGAGAGCATGCGTTTATTGTTGCTTGTGAGGGCCTACCAGGTTAATGGTCACATGAAAGCCAAGTTGGACCCGTTGGGTTTGGAAGAACGAGAAATTCCAGATGATTTGAATCCAGCTCTCTATGGATTCACAGATGCTGATCTGGATAGGGAATTCTTTCTCGGGGTGTGGCGAATGTCTGGATTTTTGTCAGAGAACCGACCTGTACAGACCCTTAGATCCATATTGACTCGCCTTGAACAGGCTTACTGTGGAAGCATCGGGTATGAGTACATGCACATTGCAGATCGAGAAAAATGTAACTGGTTGAGAGACAAGATTGAAACACCAACACCAATGCAGTACAACAGGCAGCGTCGAGAGGTTATTCTTGATAGGCTTATATGGAGTACCCAGTTTGAGAATTTCTTGGCTACTAAGTGGACAACTGCTAAGAGATTTGGGCTGGAAGGTGGGGAGACTCTAATTCCTGGTATGAAGGAGATGTTTGATAGAGCTGCAGATCTAGGGGTTGAGAGTATAGTCATTGGAATGCCCCACAGGGGACGACTAAATGTGCTTGGTAATGTTGTCCGAAAACCACTCCGTCAAATATTTAGTGAATTCAGTGGCGGCACAAAGCCTGTAGATGAAGTTGGCCTCTATACAGGAACAGGTGATGTCAAATACCACTTAGGAACTTCTTATGATCGACCAACACGCGGAGGGAAAAGAATCCACTTGTCTTTGGTTGCAAACCCTAGTCACTTGGAAGCTGTGGATCCAGTTGTTGTTGGAAAAACCAGAGCCAAACAGTATTACTCTAATGATGTAGACAGGACCAAGAATATGGGTATTTTGATTCATGGGGATGGTAGCTTTGCCGGTCAAGGTGTAGTCTATGAGACCCTACATCTTAGTGCTCTGCCAAACTATACAACTGGTGGGACCATACACATTGTAGTGAACAACCAAGTTGCTTTCACAACTGATCCTAGGTCGGGGAGGTCATCACAGTATTGTACTGATGTTGCTAAAGCTTTGGATGCTCCCATTTTTCATGTTAATGGAGATGATATGGAAGCAGTTGTTCATGTGTGCGAGCTTGCTGCAGAGTGGAGGCAAACGTTCCATTCGGATGTTGTGGTTGATTTAGTCTGCTACCGTCGATTTGGGCACAATGAGATTGATGAGCCATCCTTCACCCAGCCAAAAATGTACAAGGTAGGCCCTTAATTATCTTTTTTTTTTTTATCTACAAGTTATTTGTTTTTGTTGGATTGGGCGTATCGAGTCTCTTAATTCTGCTTTTGCTGGAGATGTTTATCAAGGTCTTTATTGTTGTAATTATTCCGGTTCTCTAGTAACTGTCTGCTCAACTACAATTTCGGATAATGCTTCTAAATCTTACCTATTTTTGGAGCCAACAGGTCATCCGGAATCATCCATCAGCTCTTCAAATCTACCAAAAGAATCTGTTGGAATCTGGACAGGTAAAACAAGAAGATATTGATAAGATACAACAGAAAGTCCTCTCCATCCTCAATGAAGAATTCCTGGCTAGCAAGGACTATGTTCCACAACGAAGAGATTGGCTTTCCGCTTATTGGGCTGGATTTAAGTCACCTGAACAAATTTCACGAATTCGAAATACTGGGTATTTGAGCAGTGCTTATTTTCAGCTTTTTCATGGTTTCCTCTACCATGTTATTCCCAATTAAAGTTTATGTTGTTGTCCAGGGTCAAACCAGAGATATTGAAGAATGTTGGCAAGGCAATCACTGCACTTCCAGAAACTTTTAAGCCTCACAGAGCAGTGAAGAAAGTGTATGAACAACGTGCTCAAATGATAGAAACTGGGGAAGGCATTGACTGGGCAGTTGGCGAGGCTCTTGCTTTTGCCACTTTGGTTGTAGAAGGCAACCATGTCCGACTGAGTGGCCAGGATGTTGAAAGAGGTACATTTAGTCACCGCCACTCTGTGATTCATGATCAGGAAACAGGGGAGCAATATTGTCCTCTGGATCATGTGATAATGAACCAAGATCCGGAGATGTTTACTGTGAGCAACAGGTATAATTCATTATAAACATTTTTTATTGCTGATAGTTTCTAGAACAATGCTGCACCTTTGTCATATGAAAGAACTTGTAGAAAATAAATAATTAGAAGAATAAATTAGGATTAAATACATTTATTTACAGCTGTTATTTTTGTTTGTCATATGAGCTGTACATTCTATTCTGTGTAAATGGAGGGTGTCACCAACGGATTTCCTCTTCCCCATAATTTTGTTAGGATTTCTCTAGAATTTGTTAGGTTGTTAGAAGCAGCAGAATTATACATATATGTGAATCATTCATCAAGGAAAATAAGAAGCAGAATATTTTTCTCTCAATTCTCTTCATGGTATCAGAGCATATCTGATCCAAGAAGAAATCAAACCTTGCTGAGCCGTAATTAGAAATGGTCTCAGGTGAGCTTCCATCCTCTCCACCAGAAGTTTCCTTCGGTTCTTATCACCACACAGCAACAACCAGAGCTGTGAGTGAGCTACCATCATCCTATATCACATGACATAAACTCGACTGTAGCAACTTTCTTCAATGGTCGTCGTTTGTTCGTTTCTTCATCCGCGGAAGAGGGCGTTATGGGCTGGCGAGCTCGTGCCTCCTCCAGCATCCGATTCAAATGCACAAACCTGGGAGATTGAGATAGCATGGTCATGTCCTGGCTTATCACCTCAATGACCCCTGAAATCGGAGAGAATTTCCTTCTCTACGAAACTGCCCACGAAATCTGGAAGGCAGCACAGGAGTTCTACTCCAGCAAGGAAAATACATTTGCAATATTTGAAATCGAGTCAACTCTCCATGACCTTCGGCAAGGAGAACTTAGTGTCACTTAGTATTACAATTTCTTTAGTCAAAGTTGGCAATAGATGAACGCTTTTGAGGAGCGTCGCTGGAACTGTCCCGAGGACGCGAAAAATTTCAGAGCATTCATGGAAGAAAAGCGGGTCTTCAAATTCTTGCTGGGGCTGAACAAAAATCTCGAAGAGATTCGGGGGACGTGTTCTGAGCATCAAAGTCTTTGCTGAGTTTTCGGGAAGCATTTTCCGAGGTTCGACGCGAGGAGAGTCGTCGGAAGGTCATGATGGGAGAGATTGACCAACTTTACTCGACTGAAATTCTTTTGCTCTCACAACCCGAGCGATGACATTGAACGAAAAAAGACAAGGCCATGGTGCGATCACTTTCGGAAGTTAGCGCACACTCGGGATCGTTGCTGGAAGTTTCACGGTAGGCCAAGCGATTGGAAACCACCTTCGGGTGAGTGGAAGACGTCAAAGGCAGAGACCTCCAGCATGCATAAAGGGAATCACGTGATGGCTGAGGAGGTAATTTATGATGCAGTGGAAAAAGACCCATCTACCCCTGAGCAGTTGGAAGCCCGCCAATGTATTTTGTTCAAAAAATCTCACCCGGTCAGTGCTTCTATGGCACACAAAGGTAATATTCTTGGCTTATCTGTTTTTTCAGAAAAAGAACAGGTGTGGGTGGTAGACTCTGGAGTATCTAATCATATGAGTGAAGATTTCTCAATGTTCCAAAATTACAGAAGATGTGAAGAGAATTTTTCAATCAAAATTGTAGATGGTTCTCTCTCAAAAGTGGCTGGAATGGGTTCCGTAAATTTGTCTCCAAATTTGACTATCTGTTCAGTTCTCCATGTTCCAAATTTGGATTGTAATTTGTTGTCTGTCAGCAAGCTATGTGAAGATTTGAAATGTGTCCCGAAATTTGTTCCTAATATGTGTAATTTTCAGGGCTTGGATTCGGGAAGGATGATTGTGATGTTTGGGGCCCTTCTAGGGTTTCCAACATTTCCGGAATTAGGTGGTTTGTATCTTTTATTGATGACCATACAAGAATTACTTGGGTATTTCTCATGAAGGAAAAATCTGAAGTGAGATCCCTGTTTAAGAAATTCCATACAATGATTCAACCCAATTTCATGCTACCGTCTAAGTATTGAAATCCGACAATGCTTGTGAATATTTTGAAAATACTATTGAAAAATATTTTACTGAACATGACATTATTCATCAAAACTCCTGTGTTCATACTCTACAGCAAAACAGCATAGCCGAAAGAAAAATAGACATATCATTGAGGTTGTCAGATCACTCATGTTCGCCACTCATGTACCAAAATATTTTTGGAGAGAGGCTGTTCTTTCAGCTACCTATTTGATTAATCGGATGCCTTCCCGTATTCTACAGTTTCAAGCATCTTACACTATCCTCTCAAAAATCTTTCCCGATTCACACATCTTAAACACTTTGCCACTTTGGTTGTTCAGCATATGTCCAACATCTTCGTGGGAAATTAGACCCAAGAGCAATAAAGTGTATTTTTGTTGGGTACTCTGCAAATAAAAAATGATACAAATGTTTAGTTTCGGAAATTCGCCGTTTTTATAATACAATGGACGTCACATTTTTTGAGAATCAACCGTTTTATCTCACTACTGATATTCAGGGGGAGACATTCACTCAAGAATATCAGTTGTGGGATGTGAGTGTAGCTCCTCTCTACCCACAAAATCCACCACCAGACAAACCTTCCCTAAAGACTGAACCCGAAACCTCATAAAAGAAATCAGAACCAAAATCAGTTACAGAAAGCACATTACCTGCAACGAGTGAGCTACGTGTCTATACGAGAAGAAACAAAGGAAAAACACCTAAATCATCCAAGCACTGCCATGAATCCACCGTTGATCCAGGTAATGTAATCTCTGTACCAACTCTTGATTCCGTTGATTATGATATTCCTATTGTTTTGAGGAAGGGTACTCGGACATGCACCAAACGTCTTATATAGGACTATGTTTTACTGGATAAATTGTCATCGGAACATCATGTTTTTGTGTGCACGATAGACAACAGCTTACCAGAACCTAGAACAATACATGAGGCTTTGGAAATTCCAGAATGGAAGTTAGCTGTCCTAGATGAAATCAAGGCACTTGAAAAGAATGAGATATGGGAACTAACTAATCTTCCTCCAGGAAAGCGTCAAGTGGGATGCAAATGAGTCTTTACAACAAAATATAATCCAGATAGGAGTGTGAATCGGTTTAAGGCTTGCCTGGTAGTCAAAAGCTATACACAATTATATGGTGTAGACTATCAGGAGGCGTTTGCACCAGTTGCCAAGCACAATATTATTCAGGTACTCCTCTCACTTGCATATAATCTTAACTGGTCACTGTGTCAACTAGATGTAAAGAATGCATTCGTTAATGGCGATTTGGAAGAAGAGATGTATATGGATATACCACCTGGATTCGAATTAACAGACAATTCCCAGAAAATGTATAAATTGAAGAAATCACGCTATGACCTAAACCAATCTCCAAGAGCATGGTTTGACAAATTCACAAGAGCCGTAAAACATAAATGATATGAATAATGTCAATCTGATCATACATTGTTTGTCAAACACTGCATCTCAGGTAAGAAAGCTATTTTGATTGTATACGTTGATGATATCATTTTTACAGGAGATCACCTTGAGCAGATTTAGAAACTCAAAGAATTCTTGGCCAAAGAATTTGAAATAAAAGATCTTAGGGTATTGGAGTACTTCCTCGGTATGGAAGTGGTTAGATCCAAAAAAAGGATTTCAGTTTCTCAACGAAAGTACATTCTGGATCTCCTAAAAGAGACTGGGATGCTAGGAAGCAAGTCCACTGACACCCCGATGGATTCAGTCATCAAACTTGTATCCAGAATTAGTGATAAAATGGTTGACAAAGGGAGATACCAGAGACTTGTTGGAAAACTTATTTACTTAGCTCACACAAGACCAGACATCAGTTTTGTAGTAAGTACAATAAGTCAGTTCATGCATCAGCCAACTGAAGATCACATGAGTCCTGTGTATCGGATTCTGAAGTATCTCAAGATGACTCCAGGACAAGGTTTATTCTTTCAGAAGACAGACAGAAGAGGTGTTAAAATCTACACTGATGCGGATTGGGCAGGTTCTACAGATATCAGGAGATCTACATCAGGATATTGTACCTATGTTTGGGGTAAGCTGGTTACCTGGAGAAGTAAGAAACAGTCAGTTGTGTCTCGTAGCAATGCAGAATTTGAATTTGGAGCGCTTGCTCATGGTATTTGTGAAGGTATATGGTTGAAGAGAATATTTGAATAATTAAAAATTCTCAACAATATGCCTATGAAAGTATGGTGCGACAACCAATCAACATTCAATATGACTAAAAATCCAGTACATTATGATAGAATCAAACATGTGGAGATCGACCCTTATTTCATTAAAGAGAAATTGGAAGATGGGACTATAACTCTGATGCACATTCCAACGAATCAACACATCGCAGATATTCTAACGAAAGCTCTTCCCTAGAGAACTTTTGACGACATAATATCCAATTTAAGTTTAACATATACGTAAACTAGATTGAGAGGGAGTGTAGAAAATAAATAACTAGAAGAATAAATTAGGATTAAATATATTTATTTACAGCTGTTATTTTTGTTTGTTATATGAGCTGTACATCCTGTTCTGTGTAAATGGAGGGTGTCACCAACGGATTTCCTCCTCCCCATAATTTTGTTAGGATTTCTCTAGAATTTGTTAGGTTGTTAGAAGCAGTAGAATTGTATATATATGTGAATCATTCATCAAGGAAAATAAGAAGCAGAATATTTTTCTCTCAATTCTCTTCGGAACTATTGAAAAGAGGATGCCAAACTGGTGATTACTTTTATGAAAGTGGGTTGGTCTTAATCACTTTTGTGCTTCATAATATAGATGACTGGTGATTTTATATGAAACATAATCTTTGATGATGCCCAGTTGTGTCTGTCTTGTTATTTGCCACAAGAGCCTGCACCTTTTTGCTTTCATCAGGCTGGTTTTTTTGGTGCTCTTTCAAAGTTCTGTAGATATTTTGTTATGTAATTTTTCTTTCCCATGCAGACACCATTATATTGTTTTTTAAAGAATTTCTTTTTATTTGAAACTCTTCAACTAATGTGATTAATCAGATTGTTGTTAGCTTATTTTGAAAGATTTGGTCTGGTTTTGCTATGGCCCTAGTGCAAGTTTGTCCATTCCCTCTCCAAGAGAGGTGAGGCTTACTGAATCTTTTTCTTTTTAGTCTTTATTTTATAGTATCCTATTTCCCTTGATTGGAAATATGGGGATCCGAATAATAAACCTTTGTTTATTTTAATGTTTTCACCAATTTTGAAGGATCTAGGTCTTCAACTGAGTTAATCTCTGTTGATAAACCATATGTATCATGTGAGTATATCTTTTTGATAGAGAAGGATTATATTCATAAGTCACCAAGGAAGTGCCACCCGTATACAAAACTAGATACTAGAAACAAAATCTATGAGGTCTCCAGGTTCCTCCATATTATTGAGAGTGTGGACTGAAAACCACTAGAAAATATTAAATCCAGCCATAAATCCTTAACTCTGTGAAATTGGCTTCTCATCCCTTAGGAAAACTCTACTTCTCCTTTCTTCTAATATCAACCAAAAGATGAAAAGTGGAATGAGGTCTCTGGGTTCCCCTCCTTTTTACATTTTATCCCTGACCAAGTCTGAATCTCATCCAGAACATGGACCACCCACTTCACCATTTGATGTAAATATATCTATAGAGCAGTGGCCATGCTGTGCCATCCTTTAAAGCAAATCACAGTTAGTCAAAAAAGTATTCAGGTGTGTAAAAATATGTAAGAAATTTATATCAAGCTTTTTTTGTATACACACAGACTACAGACGTGTGTATTTTGCATTGATCTTAGCTGTCTTCTAGCTTTTTATGGACATCACTATTTGTTGTCACTTAGAATTATATGGCAAATATGGGATCTGTCTTCCTTTTTATTGCGTTTCTTTGCTTTTCTTTCTCTCATGCATTGAATCATGATTAATGGAGGCATTTTGCAAATTGAATGGTTAGTTCTGTTTTCTTTTCCTTTTTTTCCTCAGAGTGATATCTCTCTGTTCAGTATTCTCTTTCTTGTCTGGTGGTTGTTTTTGTCCCTTGCACATTTTCTCCTGTTTTTCTTTGGTGTTCTGTGAATGTTTGTTAAATGGTATCTTACATGGGAAATATGTCATTTGTACAGCTCTCTTTCAGAATTTGGTGTTCTTGGATTTGAATTGGGTTACTCAATGGAAAATCCAAATGCGCTGGTAATCTGGGAAGCTCAATTTGGTGACTTTGCTAATGGGGCTCAAGTGATCTTTGATCAGTTTTTAAGCAGTGGGGAATCAAAGTGGTTGCGTCAAACTGGACTTGTGGTGTTGCTTCCTCATGGTTATGATGGTCAGGGTCCCGAACATTCAAGTGCACGATTGGAACGCTTTCTTCAGGTACTTCCCCAGTGTTATCAGTTTTGTCCATATACGAATTGGATTGTTCTCCCAAACTTGTCCCAGAATGGCACAAAACTTTAGCATTGATAATCCTTATTCCTTTCCTTAGTTTGCTGTATAATCTTCGTCCATAATCTCTCTCTCCCTGTATGCGGTTATGTTTTTTTTATCTTTTGGCTCTTGTTTGTGGTGATACTCTGGAAGGGAAATGCAAATGCAAATTAAGTGGCAGAAGTAACCTCATGATATGATATGTCATCAAGAAAACCTGGAATGAAACGCTTCTATGATTCTGTTTGATATTGACTATGATCTCATTGTCCATCTACCTCAAATTTCTAAGTTGACATTTATAAGTACTCGTTTGGGGTTCTAAGAGCTGGTGATGAATATATTGTATGCATATATTTTCATGCTGACACTACTGTTTTGTCAAGGATTCAGTGCTGGGCTTTTAAAATTGTTAACTGTGTACTGGTGTTTTGCTTTTAGTTCTATTTTATCCATTTGGGTCTGCATTAATTGGTCAATGAGATCCAACTTAGGTTATAAATTTGATGGCAGATGAGTGATGACAATCCTTTCGTTATACCTGAGATGGATCCAACTCTGCGGAAGCAAATTCAGGAATGCAATTGGCAGGTTGTTAATGTTACAACTCCTGCTAATTATTTCCATGTTTTACGAAGACAGGTGAGTAAGCTGGGTTATGAATAAGTTTCTTTTTCTTTCAGGGAAGCATAATCTTTTCATGCTTCACATTTTTGTCTTGCAGATACACCGAGGATTTAGGAAGCCTCTCATTGTGATGGCTCCAAAGAATTTACTCCGTCACAAGGAATGCAAATCAAATCTTTCTGAGTTCGATGATGTCCAAGGACACCCAGGCTTTGACAAGCAAGGAACTAGATTTAAGCGCCTCATAAAGGACCAAAATGATCACTCTGACCTTGAGGAGGGTATTAGGCGTCTAGTTCTTTGCTCTGGAAAGGTATGCTATCTCCCTTTTAATGCTTGTATCTTTTTCTTTTTTAGTATGTTCTTCTGGGCTTCCAGCTGGTAAGCCCTGTTGAGCCCAAGTTGTCTGCTCTTATTTTGAAAATATAATTCAGGAACAGTAATTCATAAATTTTATGGGGTGTCGTCATTAATTACTCTTATTAACTGCATGCAGGTTTACTACGAGCTTGATGAAGAACGAAGAAAGGTCAATGCAAGTGATATTGCTGTATGTAGGGTGGAGCAGCTCTGTCCTTTCCCGTATGATCTAATCCAGCGAGAACTTAAGAGATATCCAAGTATGTAGGCTGAACTTGCTACCATGAGAAGTAGTGAATTGTGATGCATTATTGTAATATAGAATGGGGATGCCTCAATATTTGCCTTTTCTGTTCATGGTTTCATGTGTTTCATATTTTTCTAGGATTGTGAAAATTAACAATTTCTTATCTGCATGTCGAGACTTATAATTCATCCATTCGGGTTTACTTGGGCATTTACATATATTAGTATGACACAAGTAGGCATGGATATAAGATATAAGAATCCATAGAAACTATCAATATAAGATATAAGAATCCATAGAAACTATCAACTAGTTAGGCAGCCCATCGATTCAGTGCTTGTCAATTCTCAGTTGCTGACAGTCGCTTATTTTTGATAGACTCATAGAACCATATGATATTAGGTTTAGTCTAAACATATATTAGAACCAATTATGTTCTAGCCTCATATTTTAGCTCAATCTGTCCACTTGTACATACTGCATGAGTGGGAATTTTTTGTCTGCATCTGTCCGGCAACGTTCTGGGTGAGGAAGATAGGTGATGTAGTCTAAGATCCACTGAATATCAGAATATGCAATGATTTTTATATGCATATTGGATAATTTTTCTTAGTACATTATAATTTGTTTGAATTTAACAATTTTAACTTGTTATGATGCTAGATGCGGAGATAGTTTGGTGCCAGGAAGAGCCTATGAATATGGGTGCTTATAGTTACATTGCACCACGCCTTTGCACCGCAATGAAAGCACTGGGCAGAGGAACCATGGATGATATCAAATATGTGGGCCGTGCTCCATCTGCTGCAACTGCCACTGGTTTCTACCAGGTTCATGTGAAGGAGCAGACTGAGCTCGTCCAGAAGGCAATGCAACGTGAAACCATTGCATGCCCGTAGAGAATCACTCTAGAACCCGAATTCATCTTTATATGATAAAACACACAAAATTATATCATCTGAGGAGTCAAAAGATATATACTACAAAACTCTCCTAAAGATGTTGCTATTTTTTCTTCAACGTTGATGATCGGAGATTGAATAAAATTAAAAGCACTGGAATTACCCTCATTGAGGGTGAGGGTTTTTTGTTGGCGGGGGAGGTGAAGTCCCTCGGATGTAATTTTTGGCTACTGCTCGAGTTTTGTTGTGGTTATGGAAGTTTGTAACTGGTTTATGCACAGATTATGACTAGCCTTTTTACTGTTTAAAATCCTGAACCTTTACCTGGTGGAAAACAAAAGGAACCTCCTCAGGGTACTAATTCTGATAAAATGCTTATATCTCCTCTTTCTGTATATCTATATGCCACTTCGATCCACCCACTTAAAACTTAGTATCTAATACCCCTCCCCAGTTGATCTAAATTCATTTTTACAGTGAATGTATATCTATCTGCCACTCTGATCCACCCACTTAAAATGTGGTATGTAATACCCCTCCCAATTCATAATTTTTACAGAGAATATATATCTATCTGCCCCAAAGCAAATCAAAATGTCACTACGAAAAACCCCAAAATGACGGTTAAATATTGGGCCTTAGAGCTACTTGCTTCTTTTAGGCCCAGAACGAGCCCGGCCCGGATTCGGCCCGATCCGTGCTTTAGAAATTATACGCGTCTAATTGGACCAAATGGGGCCCCGATTCATCAAGCATTTCTGCAACTGTAAAAAAGCAAGAAGGGGAAGAAAGGAGCGTCTCTACTTTTTGTGGGTTGAATCTGCTGGTTTGGTGACTTTCCTGCGACAAAAAATGGCTGAGAATCTCTTTGAAGGATTACCACCTCCTTCGCACCGTCATGAACAGCAAGACCATCAACGAAGTCAATCTCCTCAAAGGGAAACGACGACGATCAAACAATCACCTCCCGTTCCACTTCCAAAGCCAGCTCTCAAGAGTGCCATGAAGCGTCCCAAACCTCCAGAATCAAACCCTGAACCAGGAGATAAGAAAAACCCTTGTATATTTCTCTTTCTGTATTGCAATGTTCTTTCTTCTTTCTGGCTGATTTTTGTTTGATTTTGATTTCAGGGTTTCTCGTAGTTTTTTTCCGTTTGTATCATGCAAGTGCGCTTTTGTTTTATTTGTTTTTGAAGATAAATATTTTGACTTGGGTTTTCCGTCTCTTATAAGCTAGGGGAGTCCTTTCAATTTCAAATGCTAATTATTTGAGGGCAAAAATCGTCCTCCTACTTAATAATTCATTTTGTTTTTTACTTGTATTTTTAGTAACAATGTTGAAGTGAATTGAACTAACTACTAAATAAATTCTTTTGGAGAATATGAAAAATTTGGACCACGTCTATAGGTGATTAGTTGAATTAAGCTTACTAAAAGGAGCTTCTACTACTCTTGGGTCTGTGATGGAACTGAGTTTTGGCTTCAGTATGAGTTAACATATTTCTTTCATCTTCTTAGTAACTGATTTTTATGGCTTATAGATCTCATGATTTTTAGTAGCTCATGATTTGTTTAAAGATTTCAGGGTTTTTTTTTTCTCTATAATTGTAATACTTCGGTATTATCAATATACTTGATACAGCTACTGCTTGGTTTATTCATTTTTCATTCAAATACTAGTCAATTTCTAGTTATAATTTTCCTATATTAGTTTTGATATGTACAATCAGAACATAGTTATTTTGTACTTGAGATAGGTCCACCCTACTGTGAATTTCTTGGAGGTTGAAATTCGATTCTTATTTTGAGTTAGAGCTGAAGTTAGCTGGCAATTGAACAAGAAATTAACTGAATGCAATCTTTTGTTTTTGTGATAAAGAAAGTGAAAAGAAGTGTTTTGCACTCAGAAAATAAACCAAGAGAAAACATAAGAGCCTATTATGTTATTTACTCATTCTGTGTTTGTAGTAATAACAACCAATAGGAAACCCCATTTGCATGTGATTCACTTAATTCAAGTAGGGTTACCTTATAAATTTTATTAATTCTATTTCCTGTTATTTTCAGCGGTGCCACCTGAAAAGCGTTTGAGGTTTAAAACAACAACAGATGCTTCAGAAAAGCAAGTTATAGAGGCCATGCAGAAGATAACATCACACATCAAGAACCCTGCAAAATTTGGAAAGGCTTCAAAGCTTGCTATCCAGTTGATTCAGGCTGGAAGTGTAAAGCCAGGAACTAGTGATCACTTTTTTGCCATCCTAGAGGCTGCTATGTCATCACCCACTTCTTGCACAGATCCTTCAGTTCGAGCAGACTATCATGCATTGTTCTTGGCTGCACAAGATGCTGCTGATGTAAGTTTATAGTTTATAAATTATATCAAGCTCAAGTTTATGAATTGGGAAACATGTATGTTTTTGGGGCATTATCTTACTTTTTATTTTTTCCAGTGTCTCAATAAGAAGCAGAAGAATCTATTAACGACATGGACAATTAGGGCAGTGGTGGCAAATGACTTGCTAACTGATGACAGCTTTTTGGTACGGACCTGGGCATACCTGTTGTAAGTTTTGTTGTCAAAACTTTCAGAGTTGTGTCTTAATGATTTCTATCATATGTTTTGGCGTGAAGAACATTATGTGATATCTGCTAAGTTTTGATACTCGCATTCCATTCCGATTGATCATATCTAAAAGATTTAAATGTGTATATTCTGGTTTATCTTATCCCAATAAGTAAATTTGGAAATAGTCTTTGAAGTATGAAAACGCATCTTCTAAAATGTGTTTTTTTAAATACAATGTTTTTAAAAGAATATCTTTGCAATGTAGTGTTTGTTACTGGATGGCATTCAAAGTCACAATTTATCTTTTTTGTTCTAGATGATATTTTTTGCGTTACTTGTAGTTAGTGCAGCTGGTTGTATTTATTTAATGTAACTATTACTACAATTGTATAAAGGTGTAACCATGGAGGTTATCTTTGTTCTGGGAGATTGGTGGTTGTCTACGTGTACTGATCCAAGAATGAGAGTTTTATGACCAGAGAATAATTTTTAGATGGCATACATCATTAAAATTGAATGTGTTATTAGCTTTATATTAATTTGACACAATCAGTATATGCTCTGTTAAATGGACCACATTTTTTGGTAGAGGCTACCTGTGTTGATATATATAACATATGCAGGTATATCATACTGGTTCAACAAGGCTGTAGGTCCTTTGACATGGTAAATTTGGAGAAGAAGGAAGCAATGAGACTTGAGAAAGAAATGGGAATGAGACTGAGAAACTATTCTCATGGCTGAAAAGTTGAGAGAGACAATGAGAGAGATAGGAAAGAGATTATAAAGGTCTTGAAATTGAGAGAGAGAGAAGTGGGGATAGGGTTGAGAAACTATGCTCATGCTTGAAATGTTGAGAGAGAATGAGAAATGAAGATCCTCTTGGAATTGAGAGGGAAGAGTGGGGATGAAGTTGTATACCTCTATTCTTGAGCTTTGTGCATGAATTGTTGGCTGTTCCTTTGTCTTCAACTCTAGTGTCTCCATTTTCAGAATGAATAAGAGAGAAAACTGGGAGTAAGCCAGCAATCCTTTTAGCAGCTAGAGCAACCTTCTGTTTTATGATTCTTATTCTCTTGCATCATTCAAGCTTTTTGCATCAAGATGAAAGAAATTAAAGTTAGATCTGAAAAAAAAGGCTGTTTCAGTGAAATAATGGTTGGCATTATATGATTTTTCTATGCACACATGCATTTACTTTCTTGTACCTTTATGGCATTGCTAATCTTTATCATTGAAAATCTTAAAGTTTTTGGTGAAAAATTAGACTTTTGTATGCATCCGTGCTCAATACCCACTCTCACTCCCATTAACTGAGAGGGAATTCCACTGTTATATTTGTTTTTCTTTTCTTTGAGAAGATTGTTAAATTGCTTTTACTTTTACTGTTCCTTTTTCAGTTTATTTTTTCAAGGCCTAGAAAGGGCAGAGAAAAAATATAGCTGATCATTTATTTGATGGGTATATCTGAAAAACTCATGTACTGGCTGGTTATTTATCTCTCAAGACACTGGTTGATCTGTCTTGAACTTGTGTGTTGGTTATGCAGGACCATCATTTGGAGGATTATGTTTCCTCGGATTTTTTCTTTGAATTTCTCATTTTCATAAGAGCCTTAATTATGAAAGACAAACAGAGAAATAATTGGAGAAAACTACCATTTGGTTAAGAAGTGTTTCACCATATTTTCAGTGACATTGCAAAGTGAGACAAATTTTGGTTACGGCATTACTTTTCTTGCTGATGGTTCTTTTTTCTGAAGACTGAAATAATTATGTTGACGTCAAGTTTTTAGTTTTCAAGTTTGTGCATGATTTCTGATGTTAGCAGGACCAGTGTTTGTTCTGATTTTAGCTGAAAAATGTAATTAACTATAATCATCCTTGTGGATTCTTAAAATTTGCTGAAATGATCGAGTATCAATTAATATAATGCGTTTTACTTAAAAAATATGAATAGATTGTGGACTCGTCATGGTTTTGTACATGAAAGTATGGAGTCTTATTAACAAAACCTATCTGTTCACCTTTTCATCCTGGCTGATCTGTTGCTTATGTGGGCCTTCATTGTAGTTCTCTAAGACAGCCGGACGAATAAAGGAGGCCATATCAGATCTTCCAGTTTCAACTGAGAATGATGACATAGAGGAAGCTGCAGCCCTCGAAGAAGAAGCAGAAATGGGTAGCAAAGATGATCAACAGAAACAGAATTCGCCTGTAGTTGAATCAAGTGAAGAAAGTAAGATGGAGTCTGATCCATTTGGGCTTGATGCACTGATTCCTAGCACAGTGAAGAAAGATGACCGGAGTAAGGGAAAGAAAGATGACCCAGCCAAAATTCGAAAGGAGGATGATATGGAGAACAAGAGATTTCTCAAGTCACAAAGAGAAGCCTTGATTACTTGTTTGGAGATTGCTGCTCGACGTTATAAAACTCCATGGTAAGAGTTGTAATTTACACATAGTTCTTCTTGTTTTTGTTTCTTCATGACTATGATTCCGAGAGGTTAATGGATCTCTCCTTTTAAGGTG